CACCGGGAGAACCACCAGCAACACACAACGCCGGTGCCCTACCGCCACCTCCACGCCCCACACCTTTCCCCCTCCCCCCGCCTTCCCTTTTTTCCTCGTGTCGGCCGTCCGTGAGTACTTGGGTGGTGGTTTTCTTGCCGCCCGAGTCACGTGGACTTTGTTTTTTTTTGGGGAAAGCGGTGGCCGCCGGGGGGGGGGGGGGGGGGGGGGGGGGGGGGGGGGAATCCAAGACAATCCTGGATTCGGGATTCCACGCCATGGATTCCGGATTCCAGGTACTGGATTCTGATCCTTTGTCAGTGGAACTTGGATTCCAGGTTCCAATCGACTACTGGCTTTTGCTGCGAAACTTTGCACTAGTTCTGGTGTGAAACTTTTACGATGATTGCTCGACTAACTACCTACGACTACTGGCTTTTGCTGCGAAACTTTGCACCAGTTCTGGTGTGAAACTTTTACGGTGATTGCCTGACGGACCACCTACGACTACTGGCTTTTGCTGCGAAACTTTTGCGGTGATTGTCTGACGACATACCAATATGGCTTCTTGGCTATAGAAAAAATGATGTGAGTAAGATCAAACTTAGGATTACAAGCTCTTACTAGTGCGGAGAAAGTTGCCACAAGAACACGTTATCAGTCTGGCTTTAAAAAGTAAACTGTTGCCATCGCATATTTGAAAACATGGACAGTATTGTTTTTTATACCGCAACAGAGAGGTCCTTGCTTGCTCTCAGGCGTTTACGTAAATGACGAAAGAGGAAACCATCCTCCCCACGTTGAAACTCGAGTTAAAGACCGCAAACGTTACCTTACCTTGTGGGTTCGTGGTTTTCAGCCGTAGCGATTAGAAGTTTCCGATGGAAAGCCTGTTTACTCGAAACTTTCTATCAGTTCTGGTGTAAACCTTTTGCGGAGTAACAGTAGCACGGCATACAATGCTGACGATAAGCATGTGTCTACACTGAATTTTCGGGTGATTTTGCAGAGGAGACCACACGTATATCGAGCTTACTTGTTATGTTGTTATTTCGCCTCAGTCGATAATCGTTGGAAAATATGCATTGGTCTTAAGGCTTTGCGATGATCTGAAATTTCAAGGCAGTCTCTCCCCGAGTACTGTTGGATGGAGTCTATGGCTGCTTCGGCATCGTAGACTGAGCCATTAAGATGGTTGATTTTGTTGTCTTGGGCTTCGCACCAGTTGTTAAGATCGTTTATCTGTTTCGTGGTCGACTGCATTGACTTCAAGACGCAATCGTATTTATCGCTGATCAATTGCTGTGACGATTCAATCGAGTCCAGACGCTTTGACAGATTAGTTATCAGGCAGTTTATCTTTTCAGTTTCAGTCTTCAGTTCGTTTCTGATTTCTTTCTTGATGTTGGGAAGGAATTCTGTCTTCCAGATCTTTCGCATGTTGTCGACATTGAGCGGTTCTGAGGAGGAAGCCATTTTTGTTGCGGAGGTCAGAAGTCGCGTCACCCTTACTTGCCATACACCAAGCTGAACTGACCAAATTGCTAAGTAGTTTATCTGATGAAACGAAAAGTTTGGCGCTTAACGATGATTTACTTTACTTAAAAGCTTACAATTTCAACCATACGGTTACATCTTACCGTTATCAATTTCCAAGACTGGATTCCATTCATCCCAAAATTTCATCCTAACATCCCGCAGTGAAAAACACCATCATAAAAATGAAAATCAAATTTCTTCTAAAAAGATCCCAAAACTTGCAAATTATTCTTCCTCTCAACCACAACTTGTCAGATGCGTCATTAGCTTATACAGCGAACCGAGTTATTTCATTCACAAGTGGTAAAATTTTGGGTCCAAAACAGTTTGTTATACCAGGCAAAACTGGGGGGAAACTAGGCGACTATTTTGCATAGAAAAATATTCGAAAACTACGTAAAAACCCATTCTTCGAACGAATAATTCACCGTTTCAACATTCCGAATAATTTTAGTGAAAACATGGCAATTTGCATGCCAATTTGCCCATGGCGACACCGAAAGCCGAAAAATTCTAAAACAAAATATCATCTTGCAGACCTCCCTCGTAATAACCACTGAATCAACTAATTTTATCAACTCACTTGATGATCAAACCAAATCTTCGTGAAACCAATATTTTCGTTTCTTTTTTTCTGTTTTATCTCATATTTCTGGTAAACAACAAGAAATGAAAGAATTTTAATCCTTTCATTTTTTGTTGTTAAAAAGCGTGTGTTAAAACACATGCTTTTTAAATTATTTGGCCTAAAATTTATAGAGTATCACTGAAACGCTTGATGTGCTTTTTTTTTTTCTTTCTGAGACGAGATGTTAAAAAAAATGTCCCATATAGCTACTATTTCACTTTATAGATACTCTATAAATTACCTTATAAAGCGTTTCTTTATTTTTTCCCTCGTAACGCCAAGTTTTTCTGAGTTTGTTTTTCAATTTGGTCATTCTGACACTTTGAGGAGCCATTCAACTTGATAGTAATTTCCGGCTATAATGTACACTCAATAGGATTTACTTATCAACACCAGTGTTTAACTTCTTCGTCAAAAGAAGGAATATACTGTGCTTACATTAATATATTGAGAGTTGTAGCTACCACAGCGGGTAATGTTTTTTTTTTTTAATTTTCCAGCCAGTTGTCGCTGTGCAGGGCGGTAACACGAAAGCGTTGTTTAGAGCTAAAGGTAAAGTTACTGGTACACATTGAAATTCAAAATCTTTAAACTTTTCATAAGGGTATGCGTATTTTGATGCATCGACGCGATTCGCTTAGTCTTATGAAATTCTAATTGAATGTGATATCGTTAAATGAATCGAGCGTTCGATTTTCCTGCTTCGGCCATTATACATGATCAAACAAAAAAGAATGCTAAATGATTTTTCTTTTCTCCCATGCCAAGGAACTTTCAGTGTCATTTTTCCAATGTTTTCAATAACTTTTAAAATTTAATAGCCAAAGGGTAACGTTGTGAATATGAGACTCTTTTCAGACAAATGATAGTGTCAAGGCAACCAGCTACATTCCTATAAGACTGTTTTCCGATGATACTTTCCCGGCTGTGACCGGTAAGGATCATTGCTCCTCCACCTTATGAATTGTAATGTTCAACAAAATTACGTACCCTGGTGGGGTCAATTTAGAGTCTAAAAACAATAGGTACACTTGTAAATTACAGTCTTTTAAAAGTATCATTGAAATCCATCCCTGTATTTAAGCAAGACAAAATACCTGGTTATTCAACCGAGAAAAAAGTATTGTACAGGGTAAACTCCCTGAGAAGAAAATAGCGGATTCCAAAACTATTTCACAATCAGCTGAGCTGTGCTCAAGGGTGTCTTTTAAAAGCCGACTCGGGGTCGGGTTTGGTGTTCATTTTTTGATTACTTATTTATGTTTGATATTTTGGTCAGTAAAAACAACAAATAATGAAACAAAAGAGCAATAGCCTCCAGCCCTTTAGTCGACGTTGCTTCATATAAAAATACACTAAATTAAAATTTGAAGATAATTACCGAACAGGTTGTAGAACTGATATCAGTCACTATCAAGAACAGTCCTATTAAGGACTACACCTACCCGGACGGTCACATTTTACTTACTCATGAAATAGAAAAAGTAGCGGTCCTACGATCAAACCTTAAGGTTATCCTGTATTCATTGAGATAATAGAGCGGTTTTCACTTGACGGTCGAAAGGGATTGGTTTTGGTTTTGGTTTTGGTTTTACTACGCCCTTTGGTTGGCTAGTGTATTTACTTTGGTTTTGGTTTTACGACAGTCAAGTGAAAACCGCTCTATAAGGTTAAACATCAATAGCAAACACAGCTAAACTTCGAATTCATTTCCTTCTAACAATTCAAAACATGACACGCTTTTTAGGGCTTGAAGACTGCGGTAACTTGGTAACTTTTATTATAAAATCAAAACGAATTATAGCCCTTCTGCCTACCTAGAATTAACAAGAAAGAACCCTTCTAGGAAAACATTAGTGAAACTGAGAATAAGCAGTCGCAAACTTAGAATTGAGACAGGTAGATACGACAATATACCACGCGACGAAAGCTTATGCAATCTCCGCAATTGTAACAGAATTGAAGATGAAACTCGCTTTTTATTACATTGTCCAAGTTTTTCTTCGATAAGAGATATGTTCTTCTCTAAACTAGAACCTAAAATACCGTTTCTACGACTACAATCACATGAGTCCTTATTATCACATCTGATGAATTCTACTGACTATTTTATTAACATCCAATTAATTTCATTTATATCAACTTGCTTTGAATTGAGAGACAAACGTATTTCCGGAATAATTAATCCTACTGATGGTTAGAAATAAACAATGATCAATACGTTTCAAATTGTTTTAAGTATTTAATTTACAAGGAATCAATGATTAATTTCAAGTAGCTTTTGCAATACTGTAATACTTTGTTATAGTCATGCAAATAAGGCTTATTGTTGTTGTTGGTGGTGGTGAAAAACAAGACGTGATCCAATAATGTTAACAGTCATAACGCTATTCCTCATTTTAAACACAGCTCTAAAGAACGAAAAAGAATCTCTGATAAAGAAATAAGCCTGCTTTTTTCGTTATTCCGTTCGACTACCGAGGTTTGTCGAACCATACATAAGCTCCTCTTTCTTAGACAAACAAACTACAGTTACATTTTGAAAGTTAAGTTTTTACATTTGTAATGCTTCTTATCAATCTTTAAAAAAACGGCCTGTCTAATCCCCAGAAGACAAAATGGCTGCCATTTGCGGATTACAACCCTGGATTGGAATACACAGGAACGACCAAGCTGCCTACCTCAATAATATGCTACTAGTTGCTGTCAACGGATCGTTTGCCATTTTTGCATTTCTTAGCAATCTGGCCATCATTTTCACTATAATCAAGACCCCCTCCTTACAAAAGCCGTGCAACATTCTACTATGTAACCTGGCCGTCGCAGATTGTCTCACGGGAGTTTCGCTCAGCCCATGTTCGTTGTGTGGAGACTTTTTCTTCAAAGAGCCCAGCAGTCATGTCTACATCAAGTTATGGTGTTTGACGTGTATTACACTTTACAAGTGCTTACCGTCGGCTTATCGTTTGTCAACGTTCTAGTTATCAGTTTTGATCGCCATTATGCCTTAGCCAGACCTCTGGAGTACATTACTCGCGCCACTAAAACAGGTGGGTTGTTTGCATAAGCATTTGATAAATAAGGTCTCTTAGAAGATATGGGCATTCACTGTAACTATAGTGACTGGTATAGTTACTGGTCTAAGATTACGGCATTGAATCGCATAGCGCTTTTGTAAAATGCTTGGATCTTCCGGCCAAGTTTAGTCAGCACCAACTGTTTGTAAAGTAGCCGAGAAAAGAAGGATTATCTGGAACGAATAATAATTATGTTATCATTCGATCACCGAGTTCTTTTTTTAGTGCATAAACTAATGGATTGGAAGTGATCAGCCATTTGCACGAAAGAGCGATCGCAAGAAGGAGAAAAGCGTGGTATCATTTACGCATGGGCAGAATATTATTTTCAACCAAACACAGTTGGACGACATTGCGCATGAGTAGACCATTATTTGCAGTCAGTTATTTGCAGGTCAAGTGTGAACTCTCGGCCAATGAAAAGGAAGAAAGATTTGCATCGAATGATAATTTAATTTTCCATCCTGTGGACAATAACAATGACTGACTGGCTGATTAACTGATGGCACGTAATTATCGGTTCCAGTGTTCTTAATCAGGCCTTTACCAAGGCAAATATTGCATCTACCTGACAAGTTTATCAGTTTGCTATTTTCCTTTATATGTTTCTTTTTTAGTCTCATTCGATGAAGTTTCCTGGATACCTTACCATATTAGGTCTGTAAGCACCACCAGGTCGGAACGAGATCGTCGACCATAAAACAGTTGGTATTGCGAGAAAAACGACTCGCCACGCGCATCCTGGTATATTTCTTTAATATTTGCTGCCCAACTATGACGTGAACCTTGTAATGTGAAGTTACATGGACGACGTCAAGACACGAGGACGAATTTGTCTGCCTGTTTTTGAACAAATTTCATGCAGCTCGTTAGAATTAAGCTCTAGGGAAACTGGCCTCCATTTGATAAATTTAACGAGGCTAAAAAGGGAATAGAGTGTGCGGAAAGAATGTAAATTCCTTTAAGTGAAATTTCACTGCTTTTGCGTGGTAATCAGTCTACATGCAGCTTATTAACTTTATTTTTTTCGATCCTGTTTTGCAGGAGCAGTTAAAGTTACCATCTTCGCAAACATAATCTGGCTTTTTTTAACAATCGTACTTCAATTTACTTTGCCTCCTCTACCAGGCTTCATTTTCGTGACTTCCTTTGGTGTGCTGTTTCTGATTGTCCCCTCAGTCAATTATGTTAGAGCCCTACTCGCTATTCGTCATCATAACGCTCAGCTGGGTGATGAAGTTACGCTACAGATGTCAATAATATTGCAGCGCGAGAAGAGAGTTGCACTTGACATGTGCATTGTCACCGGCTTGCTGTTTGCTTCTCTCTCACCAGCTCTTTCCATGTCAACTGTTCAAAAGCGATATCCTCGACTACACTCCATTCTGCTCCCTTGGAGTTTGACAATGTCGTTTATTCCGTCCGCTGCGAATCCACTCATTTACGTTTTACGTAATAAGAAAATAAGAAATGCCTTTAAATCTATTATCAACATGTAATGGTTAGGCCTTCTGCAGTCAACCATCAGTAGGCAACCGCCTTTGTACAAGAGCTTTAACCTAGCCGAAAGGATTACGGAATAAGTAGCACTTACTTCGTTTACTGGTCATTTAAACCTTATTTTATTCAGCTTAAAACATTAAGGTGTTTCGATAAAATTTTTCGGACACCATATCGATGATATTTTTCAATCACCTTTAGACCTCAAAACATGTTACATCAGGCGTCAGCCAAACTCCCCCTTTCACAAGACTGGAAGGGGCGTTTCAAAAATCTCAAGGAGTTGAATGCAGGCGGTTTTTGTCACTGCCTTCTCACTTCGCCTCCTCCTCTGTCGTTTTCCTTTTCGTCCTCGGTTCACCTTTCGCGGGACTGAATTTGTTACTTAACGAATCAGAAAAAAACACACACACTGAAAAATTCATTTTAGTCCTCGGTTAGCTTTCGTGGACTGATTACTTTACGAAGTGATTTTCAACAGGAATTTCCTTTATTTCTCAGTGAATTCGAGGGGGGGTGGTACTTCCTAGCTATCGGGTAATCGGGAATTATAATTGTCGCTGGATTGTATCGCATTTTCACGGCTGGATTGACTATAATAGAGTTGCATTTTCATAAGAGTTACTAGAGTGGGGTTGTACATTTTCGGGATTTGGGGAATCAGAAAATCCAGGTAGATAAGGATTTAATATTGGGAAGATTTTCCACTTCGTTCAGTTTAACCATTGTGTCAATTCATTTCGTGATGACCTAGTTAAAAGGCTTTATAAGGTAGATGCAAAAACAGAAAGTTGCTAAGTTGGAATCGCAAAAATTGCATTTTCCCAAAGGTGACTAAGATGGGGCTACTATTTGGCCACATAATAGACTATAATGGGGTTGGGGTTCTGAGAGGCCAGCGGCACATACCCAGCAAAAGTTAACCCAAGTAATCCCCCCGGGGTTCGATGCTCTGATCGCAAGTGTCGGCAGAGCAGAAGCTTGAGTGTATAATGCCAATGGATAGGAGTAAATGTAGCCTTAAACATCATACAAAACAAAGCTTACACACCTTCAGCTAAACGTTACCTTGCTATTCCTGGTCAGTTTAAATGGAAATCGGAGCTAGTGTACACAAAATAAAAACTATTTTATATTTCATGACTCTTTTAAGTTTTAGTCGAATGTAGTCGACTGTCCACTAGAGCTCAGCTCTCTTTTGTGATCTATAATCCTGATAATGCTTTCTTGCCGGTTTTGACATACAGTACGTCTGGGCTGCCTGTGGTTCTTTGTACTCGACGTCATGATGCAGGGACACCCAACGACGGTTTCCTCCTAAAAACAGTGTGTAACTGCTGGTATCCTGACCAACGGGCCTACCCCCTTGTTTATTAGGAGCATGCGCACGGGGCCTCGGCATTGGTTGGCCGAGGCCACCGTGAAATAATCTGAAGTTTCACTAAGGTTTTCTTCAAGTTTCTCAAGTGTTTTGTAAGTCGTTTGTTTCAGTTTTTCTTTCTCGTGCTACGGATTTCTAACGGATGTTTGTGATGATACTTGTGAGTTGATTCAGCCTCGTGTACGATTAAACGTTTTGTTGTTATGTTCATCGCCACGGCTATCATGTGCCGCCATTCACAGCCACACAGTGAAAAAACCTCTTTAGGCTTTCCAGAGTAATTTTAGATAAGTAGGAATGCATTCTAAGCGGCGCTATAAAATTTGTATCTGTTCGGTCATAACTTGAGTCTTTTCGACGAGGGCTTCAGTATTAGTTTTCCCGAAAAGTTTAGATGCAATTAAACGTATTACGAAAGTGAGAATTCTACTGATTCCTCTCGCCATCACATTTTTGAATCCGAAAATTTTGAGTTTCCTTTTTTTCTGCGAAAAATAGCCTAACCTGAGGAGTTAAATGTGAAAACTTAAACTTTAGAAAATCGTAGGGAATTTATTAGATAAGCTTCGAAAATTGTTCACGAATGAAATAGTCATCTAGAAATTTTTAGCCCTCCTCAAGTAACAGAAAATTCTAGGCAACATCTGCTTCTTCGAACAGATATTTTACAGAAAGCAGTCGTTGGGTGCCCTTGATAATGGAATAAGAATAAAGTCATGCTCGACTCCTGATTGTATAGTCAACTGGGAAATTTAACATGGTCGCTGTGTATTAACTACGTTTGGTAAGATGTCGAATTAAACAGAAAATACATAAACGCCCCTCCGGCTCACAGACCTCTTATCCAACCGGCCAACGATCCAGCCGCCCAAAAAAATAAGCCATTCAGCTTCCAGGTAATCTCACAAAAACCGAAAACATTTCCATCAGGTACGAAAGAACTACCATGATTATTGCTTACTACTGTATGCAATAAAAACATGCTTAGAAAAGCAGTCCGAAAGGTATTAAGTACCTCTCTTCTTGTATTGCATCAGATAAGACACACTCAAAGCGTACAATGGTCTTTCATTCGCTGACGAGTCTGACCTAAGTAAACTAGGGGAGCTTATCATTTTGCCTGGAGTATATTCGAGGTAAGCACTTCTTGTTGTTGTTTTGTGTTATTTGGGATTGTCTTCGAGAAAAATACGTCCCAAAAATTAAGCCTACCAGAACCATATTTAGTAGGCTTTGCGGCTGTTTTGGGACGCCTTTATTAAAAAGGTTCTCATGCATTTGTTTTTCTTCATAACTACGATTGACAGATCTTGTAAGGATGGAATTATGGCATACTCAGGGGGCATAGTTACAGAGTGAAAGCTGTAAATTTTCAGTAATAAATTTCGATTGAAAATGACCATACTCAGAGCTAGCGTGAAACAAGTATCCGCACATAGTGTGCAATGTTCCAGTCGGCAAACTTGTCTGTGTTGAGAACTAGCTTTTCGCTCAAGTAATTGATGGCCTAGATTAGCCTTGCAACTTGCGGGTAAAGCAGTATGTAAATTTACCTCATCTTTAAGCTTAAATGTTGAAATAAAACAAGGGATGCCGAATTACATATCCACCGAATAGAGCCGGCTTTCGTCCTCGCCGCTTGTATTTGAAGGCCACTGAAGAGACTCGCAAGTAATTATCGCAACGATAAATCTACCTGGAGTTTTGAAACCTGGGTTGCCTGAGATCTTAAGTCAAGTCCAGCTCATTGCAGGCAATCTTTCAAATCATAATTTGCTTAAAGCCGGGATGCTTTTAGTGTAAAAATAAACTCCCTCTTCAGTACAAACCACCCTCAGCTCTTAATCATGGGCTCCAAATAACTACCTGGAATTGACAGTCAGTGAAAATTCGAGAAAAAATACACGAGGGGGGTGGGCCAGCCTGTTGCCCCCGTTGGGCCAGCTTTTTTTTTTCGAGGAGGGCTTCCGTCAAGCTAAGCGTCTTGTTGTTGCGCAGACACAGGGCTATCATCTGGTACGCATCTGGGGTAGCCTGGTTAAATTCCAGGGGGGTGGGGTTGTTCTAAAGAGTATGCTCTGTACTAGACTGTAGATTTGCTGAGTGTTTGTGTCTGGGCTTATCCCAGTCTTTCAAAGCTCAGTGTCTCCGTCAAATTGAGGGGGTTGTGTGTCTAGCTGGGTGTCATGTTGTTGCACAGACACAGGGCTATCATCTGGTATGCATTTGGGGTAGTCTGGTTAAATTCCAGGGGGTGGGGTGTTTTAAAGTTTGATGTGTTTTCGCGCTATTATGCAGTTGTTTTGTGCTATTGGCATGCAAGCAATGACCCATGGCCACTCTGTTGATGATGTTCCAGGTCAGCAAACAGTTAAATTGGTGGTTGTAGGAACTGGTTTTGTTGAGCAGTGTTGTTTTGGATTGTTTTTGGGAGACCATTGGCAATGAAAAATTGGGGAAATAGCTTTGCAATCGGTGACGCTAGCACTAAAATTGTCCCTTAAAATGCGTTATTTTCCAGACTGATGAGGAAAGCTTAAGTTTTGTTACCTTCAAGACAGACGTTTCTATCAAATGGAAGCTCATGTATTCCAGAATTTCTATTTAAGGTGACATTTAACTTTTCCAGTAAAAAGGGGCATTAAGTTACCAATTAGTGCGAGACACTGACATGTTTTAGTAGCCCGGTTTTCAAAAAACCAGGTATAAATAAACTTTTAATAACCTCATATTTCTAAACAAGAAGTGAGGGTTCTAGTATTAACCAGGGGAGTTTGCTTCCCAGTTGTATTCTAGTCGTAAAAAAAAAAAAAAGACAAAGAAAAAAGTTTTACATTATAACATGAGTTACACTACGCTGTATAAAAAGCCTGACAGAAACTTACCTCGGGTGAAGGTAATTATATATGTTGTGGTTCAATTTTATCCTTGGTTTCAATTTTATTTCCCTTCGTTTTAAACTCATTATCATAGATTACCATACTCCAAAAGAAAGGAAAATAAAATTTAAACCAAGAATAAAATTGAACCACAACATATACATGAAAATAACAAAGCAACTTGCTTACATTCTAATTCATGAAAGTTAAGGTGGCTCCGTAATTAATACGAGAGCATTTTGCTGTGACAAATTTTCCGTCATAACTTTTTGGTCTGCGAAACTTTGCAAAGAACAACAGATATCATTCGGCATTAATACGAAATATTCCGATTTCATTGATGTTAAATATTTCTTGAGAAATTAGCGCTTAAAAGGACCCTACTGTTCAAAGAAAATCGCGTCTAGTAAAAAAAATTGCTGATATTTTTTTACTGAAATTTCTGGTATCGGCTTTAGTTGATATAATAAATATGCCAGAGGAATTTCAGAGAAATCGTTGGAGCAGAAGTCCGTAACTAAAAATCGCTCAAAATTCAGAAGTGAAATTGTTTTGGAATTTCAAAAATACATTACTATCAGGTAGAAGGGACCACCAGTTTGAATTTTCGGGACAAGTAAATTCAACGTTTGCTAATTCTTACTACAAAAGCCGATTGCCTCTCGTGCTATTCTTTAAAAGGTACTTTTTAGTTTTAGAAGCACTATAAATTGCTCCAAACCTTGCTCTGAAGTAGAAT